GGGGGGGAATGTTGTATGTGTGTCTATTTGTTTCCCTTTGCCTGAGTTCTTTTTTTCAATCTTTTCTAAATATTAATCCACTAATTGTATCGTTATTTGTTTACGTGTGTGTAAGTTTTTGGGTTTTTTTCCTGTTTTCTTCCTATTTTTTTCAGCGATTTTGAATGTTCAAGGGTTGAATGTGTCTTTATTTGTTTACTTTGTCTGTGAGTTGGTTTTTCTAGTGGTTAAGCTGCTCGACAAGAAATTGTGGGTGCGAGGGTTCAAGACTCTGCTCGGTCCAGACGTGTCCTTTGGGAAAGGCTTTACACGAATATCTCATTAGGCTTGGTCCTTTCAGATATGGACTTGGGTGGATGGCGGGTGCTCTGGTGTGGTTTGCTTCTTCTTTCCTATCAAACATATGTGGTCCTTATCTCCCCTTCTCCTTTTTTATGTTTGTTACTCTCTTGTTACACCTCTAATCTTCTGGCGCTCACATGATCTTATGCGGTTGCGAGCGCTGTAAAACCTGTACTAAAACTAAACTTTCAGATATGGACGTAAACACGGAGGTCTCGCCTCGTAAATAACCTTATAGTATTTATATGTATGTTAAACCTGCACGTTTCACCCTTTCACAAGTGCGTTGCGGGTGCCCCAGTGTAGTTTGCTCCTTCTTTCATATCAAACATCTGTCGTCCTTATCTCTCCTGCTTATTTTCTTTGTGTGTTACACTCTAGTAACGTCTTTTATCTTCGACATTTATAAATCCTATTTGTGTTGCAAGTGCCGTAAAACTTTTACTATAACTAGAAGCAAACAAACAGAAAGGCATACATTGTGTTGTTTTGTTCACTTGGGGCATTTCTGTGACCTAGCTGTGTGATGTGTCCTGACCTAATTCTGTGGTGTGTTCTGACCTAATTCAATGATGTGTTTTGACCTGACTCTGCGAGCGATGTGTTCTGACCTAACTCTGTGGGTGGGTGGTTGGCGGGTGCTCTGGTGTGGTTTGCTCCTTCTTTCCTTCCAAACATCTATCGTCCTTATCTCTCCTCCTCTTTTATGTATGTTACTCTCTTAAAATTGTAGCACATCCATTCTTCGGCACTTATATGATCTTATTGTGTTGCAAGTGCCGTAAAACTCTTACGAAAAAAAAAGAACTTTGTGGTGTGCTCTGACCTAAATTTGTGATGTGTTCTGACCTAATTATTCTGTGTGTTCTGGTGTCTGGCCCAACAGATCATCCAGGAATACAACGGCAACTTCAACCTGTTGGCTCCCATGCCTGGCTTCAGGGACGGACAGCCGCGCAGTCTTCTGTTCCACTCCAGTCTCCGCATGAAGGAGGCACAGTCCGCCAAGGTGAGTGCTTAGCTAGTGCTTGAACCCGTACCATAGACAGAACTCGAGATATTTCACTGCACCAGCTGAACGAAAACATTGTTCAGAATGTTAGACATTTTACTGTGCCAGGTGAACTGAAGTATTGTTCAGAGTTTTAGGTCATTTACTAAACCAGCTGAACTGATGCCTGGTCAGGAATTTGGGAAATGGAGTTTCACAGTATTTCAGCGAGGACTCATACACTTATATGACCTTATTATGTTGCCAGTGCCAAAAAACACTTACTAAAACTAAAAACTAAAAGCATGGAACATCTGCGGTAAACAACCCTTTGCGCTCGAGACTGGGATGTCCATTTAGAGATGAACTCAAAGGAAAGAGCAGCAGACATTCCAACCGGCTGTGGTCTCTCTATTCACTATGGGTGGTGGGCAGGTGCTCTGGTGTGGTTTGCTCCTTCTTTCCTATCAAATACTTGACCGAAACTGAGTCCATAGTGCTGCAAAACACTTACTCAAACAAACAAACTATTCTATCAAACATCTTTCGTCCCTATCTCTCTTCCTTCTTTTCCTTTTCAATGCTTTTCTGTAGTAAAACCTCTTTCTCTTGGCACTAATATGACATCCTTTGTGTTGCAAGTGCTGTAATACTCATACTACAACAACTTAACCTTCACAGGTGGATGTGGACTGCCTTCTGTTCACCGACCTGATTCTGATCTGCAAGTCCAACCGGCGGATGGAGCGCTTCAAGATCATCCGGCCACCCATGAGGCTTGACCAGCTGGTGGTAAACGAGCTGCGGGACAAGGGCAGCTTCCTGCTCATCTACATGAACGAGTACCACGTGCCCATCTCTGCCTTTGCCTTCCACAGTGACACCGCCGCCATCAAAGGCTGGCTGGAAAAGTTCCGGGAGGCTCAGGTAAATATCTCTGTCCTCTCTCACTTTTGTTGGCGGGTGCTCTGGTGTGGTTTGCTTCTTCTTTCCTATCAGACGTCTATCGTCTTTATCTCCCCTCCTTCTTTTTTGTGTTTGTTACTCTCTTGTAACTCCTTTAATCTTGGCACTTATATGACCTTATTGTGTTGCAAGTGCCATAAAACACTTACTAAAACTAATACATCTCTTACTCTTACTGTACCGTACGTGCTGTACAAACAAGGCAGAGAGCAGTGGACGTCTCGCTTGTCTGTCCATATACCGTATCTCGCTTGTCTGTCCCTGTACCAAGGGGGCACAAGGCAATGAGTGGTCGACGTCACGTTTGTCTGTCCCTGTACCATGGGTACGCAAGGCAAGTGGACTTCTCGCTTGTCTATCCTTGTAGGCACAGAGCAGTTGACACCACGCATGTCTCTCCCTGCTCAGACACATGGCAGGGATGTTGTATACATCTTCAATAAATGGGGAGACAGAAAGGAGGAAGAGAAAAGAGATGGCTAGGATGTTATTGGTTCAGCGAGGACAGTTTAATGACAAAAGATGATTGCTTATTTTGGGATTTTTATTTTATGTAAATTTTTAATTTTCTTTTTCTTTTTGAGAGGAGAATTGAACTGAAGTTGAAAAAATATCAAAGAGAAAAATTCGTTTTATTTGTGGTCCTAGAAGAGGAGTTGGATATCTGTGTGTACTGTGGTGTGCAGTCTGGCCTATTTGTTCTTGTCTTGTGCTGGAGAGAGGGCTGGTAGTGAGCTACTTGTACTGAAAGTGACCTACTGACCTACTTGTACTGAAAGTGACCTACTTGTACTGGAAATGACCTACTGACCTACTTGTTCTGAAAGTGACCTACTTGTACTGGGAATTATGTACTTGTACTGGGAGTGATCCACCTGTACTGTACGAGATCAGTGATACTTTGCCCTGTTTCTTGTCTTTGGTGACCTCCTTTACGTGGGATGTGCAAACACGGCGACTTGTAGTTTAGTCTTCTGTCTAGATTTAAAACTTTTGGTCAGAGATGGCCACAAGCATCTGAGTCTTCATTTCTTTTTTCTAGCTAAATTCATTATCATTATCAGCATTATTACTTCTTTTGCAATTCTGTGAAACTTATGTACAATGATCGAAGCAAGCGAGTGGTTGAAGGGCGCCGCTAGTAGGTCCTACTTCTTTACTTTCTCTCTGTTGTTTCTGCCTGTATGTCTTACTTTTTCCCAGCACTAAATGACTATAATTGAGTCCATAAGCTTCTCTTTACTCAAAAAAACCCCAGACAAACAAATCGCAGCAAACTGTCGGAGACCCTGTTCTATTTTTTCATGGGCTGTCCACAGTACATGCTCAAATGTATGTCAGTATACTGTTTTACCTTCTTGTATTGAGTCCGACCTACTTTTTCTAGTATTTTACCTCCTGGGCGGTGCCACTGACTGAAATGTCTTTAGGCCATTCCCAAAGGGGGGACATTTCTTGTTCATGCACAGTAGAATTGTAAATGGGCTGATTCATCATTGTCACGCTCATAACTGGGCCTGATCTACAACAGGGAACTCTGCTGCTTTTTCTTTTTTTTCCTAATCCTTACTATTGTTATTTTTTCCTCTACTTCTTTTGTATGTTTGTCACACTCTTGTGACGCGCTATTTCCGGGGTGCCTTAAAAGTCGAAACAGACTTTGTGCTTTTGAACCAAGAGAGGTGAGCAGAGTAAGCATGATTCCCTGTAAAGACTTCTCTGTTGATATCCACCCCTTGGCGCTCATATGACCTTATGCAGTTGCGAGTGCCGTAACACCTCTACTACATCAATTACATTTTCTAGTATTATGATGTAGGCTAATGTTTTACCTACTTTTTGTGACGTCAGTAGCTTAATGGTTAGGCTACCAGACCCGTAACCGTGAGACTGCAGGTTCGGGGGTTCAAGCCTCAGGTCGGTCTGGCGTTGTGTCCTTGAGAAAAGCACTTAATTTCTCGAAATTCCCTTTTGGCACGGTCCTTTCGGAGATGCACGTGAGATCCCAAGGTCCCACTTCTTGAAAACTAATAGTGTTGATAGGGGTGTGAAACCTGTACCATTTATTGTATTATTAATATGTACAGTTTGGCCAACTTGTATTTGTATTAAGATGTACTTTGTGACCTAATTGTATAGGTCCTTATCTTCTTGGTGGGTGTGGGTGGTTGGTGGATACGGTGGTGTGGTTTGCTTTTTCTTTCCTGTCAAACTTCTATCATCCTTGACCTAATCTCTCCTCCTTCTTTTATGTGTGTTGCTTTCTTGTAACACCTCTAATTTTCGATATTTATATGATCTAATTGTGTTGCAAGTACCGTAAAACACTTACCAAAACTTGATGGGTGGCTGGTGATCGCTTTAGTGTGATTTGCTCCTTCTTTTTTTATGAAACATCCATCGACTTAATCTCTCCCCCTTCTTTTCTTAGTATATTACTCACTCGTAACGCCTCTAATCCTCAGCACATACATGACCTACTTGTATTGCAAGAACCGATGAATTCTTATTAAAACTAAACGCAAAAGATCTACTTGTACATGCATTTATATGTACTGTTTGACCTACTTGTAGGTGTCTGACCTACTTGTATTGTGCCTGACCTACTTGCATTGCGCCTGACCTACTTATATGTGTCTGACGTAGATATATCGTGTCTCACTTACTTATATCATGTCTGACCTACTCGTTTTGTGTCTGACCTACTTGTATTGTGTCTGACCTATTTTTACTGCAAATGTTTTTCCAGAGAGAGTTCAAAGTTCGCCGGGTCCAGGAGAGCGCGGAGTTGGAACGTCTGCGGGCTGGCAGCGGTCACGTGGCGGAGGAGGTGGAGTACACGCCACTGACCGCCGTCCCGTCCGACCTGGCCTTCGGCTCCGGCAGTTTCCCGCGCTCGGAGAGCATGGAGTCCGCGGACAGGTTCATCCCCAACCTGCTGACGCCCACCGAGCCCATGGACCCTGCTTTCCACAACGACCTGGGCCGCTCGGGCTCCGCCGGCGACATACACGCTCGGTACCCCGGCTCAGGGCCCTTACGGGACGCCTCGGCCGCCTACACCACCAGTGCAATGTCTCCAGAGCTCTCCCCGTCAGACAGGCGGCCAATGGGCGGGGCTAACAGCAGCGTCAGCCAATCGGATGTCTCAGCTCACAACAGCAAACACAAACCTGTTCAGACATGCCACTCCGTGCCCAACATAACGGTGAGAGACCTCGGGGCGGACGCCAACGCCCTCGCCTCCATGCCTCCCCTCGCACCACCACCACCATCAGCGGCGGCGCGACACAGGAAGAGCGCGGATACTATACAAAACCGTGTCGGTGCTAGCGCCACGTCATCGTCAGCGGCAACGTTCAACGACGCTCACCGGTCGCTGTCACAGCTGTCTCTGTCGGAGCAGCACAGCGCCATGGACGAGGAAGAACTCTCACGGATTAAGTTCAACTCTCGGCGCCTGTCGCGGACGGAGAAACGCTACCACACGGCCGACTCCATCCAGGAGATGAAGCACCAGGACAAGGACTCCACCATCCACAAACGTTTCTCCTGGAGAACGGACGTGAACGATGACCACGAGAAACTCAAATCCAAAGTGCTGAGCTCGGACTCCATCCGCAGCATCCCGTCATCCAGCGGCGTCAGCTCTACGGGCTCGCTACACCTGAACCCGGAGAGTGACATCACCGAGGAGGTGGAGGGGAGGGTGGGCGGTGGGGGGACGGACGATGCTACCTTCGCCACCACCACCAACACCGCCGCTGCTTCCCGGAAGTCGGAGCGAGGGAAGCTGTTCTCCTCTAGTGACGCAGGGGTCCGCCTAGCCGGGGAGAGGTACGAGGAAGATGGGGCGGGATCAGTCGAGGATTTGAACCCGGAGTCGAAGCAGTCCAAGTCCAAGTCGACGCCAGATCTGGTAGCCGTGTTTAACAGTCAGCTCCTCATCAGCGAGATGCAGGACGGGATCGCCTCTGTGGAGGTGACAGGTGACGTCAGCACCAGGAAGTACACACAGGCGGACATCATCAAGATGAAGAAGATCAAACATCAGATTTTGTATGACGCTAACGTTGAGTCCTCGTAAGTACTTCAACTACTTGTTGTTGTTGTTTTTTTGGGGGGAGGGGGTTGTTTTTGTTTGGTTTTTTAATTGCGAGCTCACTTGTTTACCTTTTATGTTTTTTAACGCCCCCATCGACACAATTTAGATAATTTAGGAGGTGGGCTTCGACCCTGTCTGTCAGAGCCTGCCAGCATGGGCTGAGAGGGAAGCAACGTCCCATCAGAAAGACTGAGGTAGTCGAAAACATTCTCTCTACTCGGGAATCGAAAATGGGTCTGTGGGTGGTTGGCGGATGCTCTGGTGTGGTGGATGCACTACAGAGCAAGAGATGCACAGAACCGTCCCGAGGCCTATTCCTCGGAAACTGACGGGACATTTGGACTGTACTTTCTTACAATAATAACACTGTTAATCAATTATCGCCGATGTCTGTCGCAGATCTGGCACTGGATGATGATGATTCAATATCAATTAATGTATTTCAACTTTTAAAAGATCAGAACATTTGAAACACATGTCAAGAATCATAGTGCAGTCAGTTGAAAAAATAACTACGTGGTTAGTGCAAATTCTGTGACATATTTAGTTTCGGTAACTAACAGGACAGAAAAAACACCTCATTTGTCCAGTTGGGTTTTTCAAAATAGTTTTTTTTTTCCAGATGACTAGATCTACATTTAATATGATTCTTAATACTGTTAGGTTACCGGATTCATAATTGTGAGATTGCGGTTTTGGGGGTTCGAGCCTCAGCTCGGTCCCACGTTGTAATCCTTGGCAAAGACACTTTATACGAATACATCCCATTTTGCTCGGTCCTTTCGAAGATGGACGTAAAGCTCGGAGGTCCCGCCTCCTAGATAACCTAACAGTGTTGATAGGAGCGTTAAACCTGTACCATTTCAACTTTTTCATTTAGTATGTCTTCCACATTTTCTAATCATTTAAAGTTGAAATAAATGAATTGATATTGTATTACAGTGTTATCATTTTACCGTTGAATAGCCCCCTAGCCAGTTGTTTTAGTTTTAGTAAGAGTTTTACGGCACTTGCAAAAAAATAAGGTCTTGTAAGTCCCCAACATTAGAAGTGTTACAAGAGAGTAACAAACACAAAAAAGAGGAGAGATAAGGACGATTGATGTTTGATAGGAAAGAAGAAGCAAACCACACCAGAGCACCCACCAACCACCCGCATGGCAATTGTTTAAGCTTATAGGCTCCAAAACTCTGGTGGCACAAAGTTCTCTCACCCAGTTTTGCAGCAGGCTTTGCGAAGATGATAGAAGAATTAATAGCTCTGGCGAACACGTGATAGATGTTCGCACCTTGTAGAAATGACAGATATAGCGGACAAAGTCTTACAAAGAGTGCCAACACCCTCATCTGTATTGTCTGTGAATAATAGAGTCTAGAAGCGCAAAGGAGGCAGGTTGGTGGGTGCTCTGGTGTGGTTTGTTCCTTCTTTCCTATCGCACGTGCATCGTCCCGATCTCTCCTTTTTTGTGCTTGTTACTCTCTTGTAACACATCTATCCTTCGGCACTTATATGACCTTATTGTTCTGCAAGTGCCGTAAAACTCAAACCAAAACTAAGACCAAAAAGAAATCCGTTTGGAAAGCCTGAACAGATGGGTGACGGGGAAGTGCAAGGATTAACTAGGCTTTTTTAAAGAGCATCCGAAGGCAGAAATGAATGAAGAACAACCCCTACTGTTATAAAGTCGGCGTTGATGGAGAACCATGATCACCGATCTCTGTTTCAGATCTGGCACTTGATGATGATGATGATGATGATGATGATGATGATGATGATGATGATGATGATGATGATGATGATTTAGTCAATGTGAGGCATTCTTGCAAGTCACATATTTTTCTCTCTCTTATTCCACAGGGAGGTATGAAAAAAGACAGAGGATTAGGTGCTTGAAGAAGAAAGAAGGCTTGGCTCGAAGAGCGACGAGGGACAGTCTGTCTCTCCCTCTGTGCACGTCTTGGATACTGTGAGCAAAAACTGATGATTCCTTGATCAAGGTCGTTTTTTGGAAGTGTGTCGTCCCAAGCATACAGGCGTGTTTCCCCCTCTCGCCTGGACAGGACTGGAGAATCGTTCGATCGTATTCTTGACCCATCGGACGCCAGATCGCCTGTGCACCGTAATGGAAATACACGAGCCAGGTGGCTGTGGGTAGACGCAAAGGAAGGACTGACCAAGCCGTCCCCAGCAGCCATCTTGACCTGTATCTACCAGGCATCTCTTTCGTCAGACAGACTGACTCATTGACCTCCCTCCTCACCTCTGGATGTCTCCCTCAATCCAGTTGACATCAACGACCTACCCTCTTCGGAGCTCAACTCTTTGGAACTGAACTCCTGGGGGGACGAGTTTGGAGCTCCTCAAAGTTGGATGACGCACTTTCATGATTCATATCGACTGGATTTTTATTGTGTTTTTTTGTTGTTGTTTTATTATTTTTTGTTTTTATCCTTACCTACATATTCTACTGTTCAATGACCTACCCGCTCAACAGCTCAACTCGTTGAGAGGAGTTCGAGGTTCCACGGATCTAGAGCACGGATGTACAAAGTCGGCGGAGAGGATACCTGCTGTTGTTGTTGTTGATGTTGTTGTTGTTGTTGTTGTTGTTGTTGTTGTTGTTGTTGTTGTTGTTGTTGTTGTCATCCAGCTGGGAAGTGAATTCCTCGGAACTGCTCGGTGAATTTCCCCTCATTTCATCAACGGCTTTGGACTCAACTGGTTATTTGTTTGAATGGGGTTGTTTGTTCGTTTTTTTAAAAATTGTTTTGTTGTTTTTATTTATGGGTGAGGCGAGGGAGGTATTATTTTTCCAGTTAACTGGGGAAATCGCTGACTCGCAATTGGCCTCCTGATCCGGCTTATGGTTCTTTCTACTGACCTTGCTGGGTGCACACAGGTGTGGCAGACGTTTATATATACATATTGGGAACAGACAGATACGCCACTCGTTGATTTAT